CCCCTCTCTCTCTCTCCCTGTTCTGATTGTGTTGCTGTGAGAGTTGAAAGAGAAAGAACCATTGGTGCCCAAAACTACTTGTTATATGAGCGGTTGCTTCCCTTGGCACAGCTTTGAGCATTATGGTTGAGTTTGTGCAGAATTCACCTTTTAAAAAAAATGTGAACCACACCAGAACATAGTAGTGCTGCATTAACATAGTACAGTAGATGTTCATTGTCTCTTCAATTTACATGTTTTTTGATCTACGGTTGTCCTATTCACTTTCTTTGTCTTTTAAACTTGTTGTCAAAGACGTCTGTAGTGCTACAATATACCATACTTAAGTCTCTAATGAGGAGAGACATTTTATTGTCTTCGATGCCGTACCTAACATGCTTTAGACTATGGCTAATGTTAAAAATTGAAATAGTGCTGCAAAATACACTGGGTTCTGCTGAGGCACACATTGTGTAAAGAGACCGATTCATTCAAAGGCATGCCTGTGTCATATAATGTCAAACAAGTTGCAGTGTAGCGCCTAGTGCATGGCAACGTTTGGTTCCGCAGTGCAGCATGCAACTCATTACGTATATTGATGACGAGCCTATCACTGTTCAGTAGCCATGGGGACAAAATGTGACAGTGGCGTGTCTGCATAAACTCTATTTTACGTTCCAAGCCACGAGCTAGTGCTTATTCCTTCCCCCCTTCCTTCCCCTTCTTTATATATGGGAATTTCATCGTATTGGCTTATTGGATCGAAGTCGTTTTATCACTTTCCTTATAATGATTTTTTCTTTCCCAGACTGTCCAGCAGAGAGGTGCAGCTGTCATCAAGGCCCGTAAACTGTCCAGTGCCATGTCCGCTGCCAAGGCTGCTTGCGACCACATGCGCGACTGGTTTATTGGAACAAAGGGCGTAAGTTTTTAACATTTTTTTAGTGAAGCTTTTTAATTTTAATGCTGCTAACTGTATTCTTTCATAGTGTAAAAGAAGTTAAAATTATAAATTGTCAGTGAAGGAAATTTTACAGGCCAGGCAAATCACTATAATTGGATCAATTGTCCTTTTGTTTGTTTGTTGCTTTTCCACGTTTTGGGCTTATGAGCCTCTCATGGATCCTGTGCATCAGACGCAAAAAACATAGTTTAAAGGGGAGAAAAGGAAGTAAAACTATAAACTGTCTCTAAAGGAAATGTCATTGGGTAGAAAACGCTCTATTAACTCCTTATCTCCAGCAAGTTGCTCCCAGTGGCTCACGTTCTGAACCGCTGTTCCAGTAAGTAACTGGCAGCAGATCAGGCGCATTCCTTTATGACGACTTCGACATCAAATTACTTTTCAGCAATTATTGCCAAAAACAGGTCTCTTTTATTGAGAGCTCATTCATTAGATGACGAGCTTTCGAAATAGTTTGACTTGTTTTGATACAATGACCAATTTAGTGGTGTATTTGTCAATTTTAGATTTTGTACTGAAATTGGGTCCAGGATTGTGGTTTCCCCCCCGCCCCCAATCGGAGATAAAAGAGTTAATGGATCAATTGTCACTTTGTTTGTAGCTTTTCGAATGTTATAATGGAAACAATTTTGTTTTCTTCATTATACCTTGTTCTTTTTGTAGGGCAACTGGGTGTCGATGGGCGTCATCTCAGATGGCTCCTATGGTATTAAGGAGGGCTTGATGTACAGCTTCCCAGTAACCATTGAGAACAAGAAGATCACCATCGTGCAAGGACTTTCCATTAACGAGTTTGCCCGCGAGAAAATGGACGCTACAGCCAAGGAGTTGGAGCAGGAGCTGAGCGATGCTCTTGCCGAGTGTGTCGATTGACTCGCAAGTGACGGAGCCAGCAAGGTCAGCGCTTGTCCCAAACTGTGAGATTCTATAGACCAGCAGCGTTGGTTGTATAACAAAGGGCAGTATTACCCTGTTTTTACCCTGAGTACTGTGTTACGTGTTCTTGGAAATCTGTGTGTAGACATTTATGGTCATGGATTTTGTAATTCTTATTGTATTGATAGATTTTACTACTTTTTTTTTTTTTTCTGGTATATCTTTAATAATAAAATTTCTGACTGTATGAAACAGCTTTGACTGATTCATTTTTATTTTCTTGCTTATGTATAATGTATTGGGAGATTTTGTCACTTGCCTTTTCTTTTTAATGGTTTTCTTTGTATTTTAGAATATACAGAACCTTTGTGCATCTGGTTGAATACTTTAGACGCAATTGTAATGGAATAAATGTTGGATGAAGTGTTACAAGAGGCAGTATTTTTTTGTTGCTATTTTATTTTGTTTGTGGTTTCCACTTTTTTACCCTCTCGTAAACAGCATTGTTTGTTAATACAGTGGAACTCGGATTCAGTGAGCTCGGATTCAACGATTACTCAGATTCAACAAGAGGAGATGGATTCCCCGTTTTTTTTTCTTCTTTAAAATCAATATAGAAATAACCCGGATTCAACGAACATTTAAGTCAGCAAGATTAGATTCAATGAGGTCGCTTCCAGGATGAACAGCCCCCCGCAGACGTGGCTTCTCTCATTTTTCTCCCACAACGAACTTTATTCCCGGAAACCATCCATTGTACCTGCATTGTGAACCATTATTCACTTAACCGATTGCATGCAACAAATCAGCGGCCTTCTTTCATACCAACACACGCATTGTTGGCACGCGCACGTGTCTACTCTAGCATGTGTCAGAGTCGAATGGGCGTCCTGCACATGTGTGGCCTTGTGTGCGTGTCGGGGGGGGGGGGGGAGGAATCATCGATGCGTTCATGGAACTTCGCAGATACAAACGTCTTTTTTCCCCGGCAACTGATCATTATTACAATGATAAGCCAGTCTTGACGTAGATCTTCATAATGAATTGTGTGCTGGTCTATGGAATGAAAAGATGCCATATGCTAGGCTCTACACAGCGACACAACTTTTTGGTAAACAATCGAGATGACACAGGCGTGAATTTGAACAAATCGAGGTGGGTTTTTTTTGGCATAGCTCATATGCATGCATTTCAGACACCACTTGTTACTTCTCTTTACACATTACTTGCGCAGTGCCTGTAATTATCTACACAAAACCTCATGTTTGCTGTAACGAACACTCGGATTCGACGAGATTTTAGGTCAGACACGGCGACCTCATTGAATCTGAATTCCACTGTACAGTTGAAATTCTTTGAGATGACCATCCATTGCTAAGGAGAAAAATAGTTATCTTAGACAGGTGAACGTCTTGGACTTTGTCATATTAAATATTTTTAAAAACCAAGGGGGCGTGGGAAGTAGTGATTTGTACAAGTGATTGTCTCAGACAGAAGGCCATTAATGATTAATGTTTTCGGTTAACTGTTTTTTCTCTAAATCACATGCAAGCGCGTATGACCTTATTGTGTTGCAAGTGCCGTAAAACACTTACTAAAACAAACAAAATGGGTGGCGGCCGAAGCTTACTCTGATCAATTCTGGACCACCAAGGGATCTTTAACGTGCGCAACTTGCACCGGATCTTGGGGATTTTTCACCCTTATCCGAAAAGGCTAGGTATTCGATCTTACCTACCATAAGATCAGAGGTGTGGCTGAAACAGCAGTAAGAAAGAGCCAAGGAATAGCAGTAGAAAGGCTGCAGAAAGAGTCAGGAGCCCAGAGGAGGTGACAAAGGAGGTGAGGGGATGGGGGCTGAAAGTGGAGATGACAGAACATTGTTAGGAAAGGAGGTGAAAGAGGAAAATTTTCAGTCACTGTGCGGATTCGAACCTGGCACGTATTGAATGAGAGGTGAACACCATAACCTCTCAACCACGAGAGTCCCAGAAGCATCAATACCAAAAAGCCGTTCTACTACTTCTCAACCTTATTCATTTGTGACTCATCTCAAGGGCTTGATGATTAGGATAGGATTATGAATAGTTCAGGCTTTCTTTGGGCAGTTCAGATGAAGATGTGCGAGTGGAATTGGCATGGCAAGGCAAGGTCAGCCTTCCACCTCCTTTTAAATCTTTGGGGTTCATCAGTTTTGTATGTCAAGACAAAGATATAATTTTTTACTCCTGTGTGAAACTAGCCGAGCTGGAGAAACTCCATAAAATGCTCACAACCATGAATCAAACTCGGGTCTCCTGCATGCGACAGCGAAGTGCTTTTAACTCTACCGTTACATCATAGCAGATGCTGATGAACACATAATAATATGCATTAGTTATTTGCTTGTTGTTTGAGTAAAGAAAAGCATATCGCCACAATAATGGCCATTTAGTGCTGGGAAAATGTAAGACAGACTGAAACAACAGAGGAAAAGTAAAGAAGCAGAACCGACCAGTGACGCCCTCCAACCACCCGCAACACATAGAAATAAAAAAGCAATACAGCATCGCAATACAAGCCCTGAGCTGGAATCCGAAAGGGAAAAGGTAGAGAGGCCAACCAAAGAACACAATGCTGAGAGATGGCAGGGGATACAAGGAGGTAGGGTATAGACATATAAATATATAGGCCTATATATATATTATTATATATAATATGACACGGGGATAGCGAGGGCAACTGGCCATGGATCGAGATCAGCGGAGAGCTCTTGTTAGTGGCCCAAGTTCCACGCAGAACCACAGGCAATGATAATGATATTCATTATTTTGTTTTCTAGAGTAACTGTGATGTAAAATATCTTGCTGTTGTTTATTGGTGATAGTTTGTAGTTCGGGAGCTGATTTTGAGCAATGCTTTTTTAGCCCCCCCCCCCCCCCCCCCTTTAAAATGTAGCCTACTGATCAAATGAATTGAAGATATATGCTTTTTTTTTGGTTTAAGTTTGAGAAAAAAAACACGACAATCACATGTCTATAATTAGATACCGCCACAAAGGAGCAATGTTAATCCAGAAGAAAGCAAAAGAACAGACTGAAGTTTAAAAAATGGGCCTAAAAGAAGTAGGAACTACAAGCACATTGTGATGGTGGAAGGTAAAGTGCATGTAGCATAGATAAAGGCAAAAATTTGCGTCTAGTCCTTCAAAAAGAACTTTGGCTCGCACCACAGAATTCTATCAAGTGTAGAATTCTGTGGCTCGCACTTAAACTTCATCATGTGACCCAGGGGACAAAATATTGCTCCCTAATTATCACAGTCTTTAAAAACTTAAACAAAAGGGTGCACGTATTAAGTTGTTGAAAGTACTGTTGACCTTTAGCTTGATATAGAGGATAAAGATTATAGTTCTATACTTATACAAATTACATTGTACATGTAGCAACTTTTCAGATTATACTATAGAATATAGTTTATATATATATATATAGAGAGAGAGACATAGGCCAGACACATTCATTTGTATTTCCTATAGGTTGTTTCAATTGTAACAACTACAGAGGCATAAAACTCCTTTCCATACCTGGGAAAGTCTTTAACAGGATACTCATGGAGAGAATCAAGCATGCAACAGATGAGAAGCTCAGAGGAAACCAGGCAGGATTCCGCAAGAACCGATCATTCACCACTAGTGGTCAACTTCATTGATTATGAAAAGGCATTTGACAGCGTGGACAAGGAAACTCTGTGGAAACTCATGCAGCATTACGGAATACCTGACAAAATCGTCAAGCTTGTGAAGACCACCTATGATGGAACAAACTGCCAAGTCTTCCACGAAGGACAACTCTCAGAACCATTCCAGGTACAGACAGGAGTGCGACAAGGATGCCTGCTCTCATTTTTTCTCTTCATACTTGCAATTGACTGGATCATGAAGGAAGCCACCAGAAGCAAGCGAAATGGAATACAGTGGATCCCTTGGCAGCAGCTGGACGACTTGGACTTCGCCGACGACCTTGCACTGCTCTCTCACACACATGCTCAGATGCAAGAAAAGACCAAGGAACTCAATAGCCTATCAAGGAGTGTTGGCCTACGTATACTCCCGGGCAAGTCGAAAGTAGGCCTATTGAAGCTAGGTAAAATGTCAAGCCCTGCTGTGACAGTGGAAGACGATCCCCTAGAAGAAGTGGACTCCTTTACCTACCTTAGAAGTGTCATCGATGGTAAAGGTGGAACTGAGGCAGATATAAAAGCAAGAACCGCCAAGGCAAGGTCAGCTTTCAAGCAATTATCAAATGTCTGGAAAGCAAGCAACATCTCACTGCACACCAAGATTCGACTCTTTAATTCCAATGTCAAGTCTGTGCTCCTTTACGGCTGCGAAACTTGGAAGGCAACAAAGACAGTGCTGAATAAAGTCCAGACTTTCATCAACAGATGTATGAGGAGTATCCTAAGAATTAAGTGGCAGGATAGAGTACGAAATGAAGAGCTATGGGAAAGGACAGGACAAAAGGATATAGAAGTAGAAATAGGACTAAGAAAGTGGCGTTGGATGGGACACACCTTCAGAAAGCCCAGCGGAAACATCACAATTTAAGACAGTCACTGCAATGGAACCCACAGGGAGCACGAGGCAGGGGTAGGCCACGGGAAACATGGTGGAGGAGATGTGTGGAAAGCAAGGAGCTTAAAACTACTTTTAATCTCCTTGGTGGAAAGGGACATGAGAGAGATGAAGCTCACTTGGAACGAGCTAGGAAGGATGGCCCAGGATAGAGAGAAATGGAAGGAGCTTGTATGTGGCCTATACCCTGCCAGGGGTGAAAGGCATTGATGATGATGATAGGTTGTTTCCCTGGGGAAAAAAATCATTTGCCTTGTGAATGATCATCTTGTATTTATTGTACATGTATGTAGTGTAGTCAAATTCACGGTTCATCATTGAGGTGTATAAAGTATAAAACAGTTTTTTAAAAGTCAGCAGGACGAGCATCACTATATAATGTAACCCTTTTATGCCTCCGTAAACCGTAAAAAAAATGTAATTCATTCTGGATTTTTAAGAGCCCACCCCAATAACATCTGTCAATTTCTTTTGCAAGGGATGCTTCTAACTTTAATTACATGTATTAAAAAACAACAACAACAAAAAACAAAAACAAAGCAACGACAGCAGCATAAAGAACACCGGTACCTAGCAAAGGAATCTGCATCTTCTTTTCTACATGTGTGGTTTTGCAATTTAAACAAGAATTGCCTTTTGTCTATACATAAACATTATTGTCTTTTTAAAGCTTTCGACTTTCGACGCTGTGTTGTTAGCGGTAGGCCTTAGATGAATAGACAACCCTGATACTGATAAGCGATTGTTACTTGCACAAACACTTGTTCCTAAAGGTAAAGGGAAAATACATAATATATACACTTTTTTAGGCACTCACG